AGATTGTGAATATTTAGCAGTAGATTGTTCTGTTTCTGGTTCAGGGCATTTCGATTTTCATATTGGTGATAAATTTTCTGGTTAGTTTAGAGGTTTTGTAGGTGATTTGGTTGGGGAGAGTTAAATTTTGTTGATTGAACTCAGTTTTGTGCATCAGCTAAATTGAAAGGTTCAAATTGCCAAACTTGAACCTCAAAAGCTAAAGTATGGATTATGTTATTTGTCAGTTTAGAATTTAGTAAGTTTGTTTTTGCAAAAGCATTCTCAAAATTTGCGTTTCTCACACTCTGTAGCATGACGGATGGATACACAGAAACAGAACCAAATAAATATAGATTTACTTTTGTTCTTCAAAGAAACAGAGAAAAAAATAAGAATCTAACTTTTGTCACATACACACAATGTTGATGGTGTCTTCAGTTGTACTTCCTCTTCTTTATCTTGAAGGAAGAAGATCGGATAATGTCGTCATCCGCAGTGAGAACAGTCTCGAGCGGAGTTATTGATTCGGGTTTGGTGAAGTAAGTAAAGAGAAGGTAGATTCCATCCAAGTAAGTGTTGGTTTCTCCAGCTTTGTTCTTCTTTCTGATGCTGTAAGCCAATGGAATCACTCCTCTGTTGAACACTTCCACATACATTCCACCTCCAGCCACAAGCAACTGCCACAAAATAAACAACATAGTAAAACATGCAGTAATCAAAACCCAACACATATTTCAGAATTGTGATCTGATTAACCATGTGATATAGCCTAAAAGAGTCTACATATATCCCAGAAATGTGCATACTCAACTCTACATATAACCATTTTCTAGAAGATTTTGCTTTGTAATCATCTCTTACCTATACTACTATCAAAGAAAGTTTCCACATTGGATTCTAAAAATTGAATATACGACTACAGATTAAACAGTACACGAAAACAGTAGGCTTTGGAGAATATGTACCTCTTCGTATTTCTGGGTAAGACCAAGCCGCTCATCTTCAGACATGTCCGGTCTCAATACCGCCATTGTTTCGTACTGCCTGAGCCCAGGTGGGCACTGAGGTTCCGGTTTGTCCTCGAGTGCAGTTGAAACGCCCGACCCGGAAGGAGAATTCGGGTCATCGTCCGACCCAAATCCACCTTCAAAGAAAGTGCCGGAGAAATCAAGAGTTTGGGATTTCACCACGAACCCAGAGCTATCTCTCTTATGCTGTTGTAACGAGGAAATAGGTTTGGAGTTGGAAACGAATGGCCTGAGGGAATGTGAGAAAGAGAGGAGTGGTTGCGACGATGTATTAGGAAGAGAGTGAGGGCAAATTAGGGAATTCGATACACATAGCGAAGTCGCCACCATTGTTGTCGATGAGATGAGAGCTTTAGAAGTGAAACACAGCTTCGAGATTTGGATAAGAGATGATGATGATGATTTTTCAGTGTACACGTTAGTCAGATTGCTAATGTGCACCGTGGGCTTTTTTAATTGATTCGGCCCGTTAAAGGCCCATATTGTAAAGACATGTATGTTACTTGTCTTTCTCTTTCTCTCTCTGTCAAATCTATTTCTTCGCAATCAAGCCAGTTCGGAGGATAAAAGAATCGTCGCCGGTGAAGAGAAGAAGAAAGGTGAAGCAATGGATCCACAGCTAACGGAAGTTTCGCAGCAGTTGGAGAGATTCAAAGCGGCTTTTGTGAGGAAGGATTTCAATAGCTGTGGTGATTTGTTGTCTCAACTTAAGGTATTTTGAACCCTAATTTCATTCGATTTTTCCTTGGATTTGTATATTATCGTCGCAATAATTCCATTGCGTATCTGTTTTATGAATGTAAATTGGGAAAATTTTATGGGTTTTAGTGCCGCGAGGGTTCGAATCTATGAGAGCTTCGATCTGTTGAATTGAGAATTTAGCTATAAATCTGTGTATTCGGGATCTTTTAGCAGAGCTAGAATATGGTCAAGTGCTATGGAAAATTTAATTTGTAGATTTACTATATACTGGATTGTTCTTGTGAGTGGAAAACCTGTCTGGATACTTTTAGATCCCAACTTTCGACTGATGAGAGTTTCTGATGTGGGTGGTTTATGTTATATTGTTCAGGTTCTTCTGACCAAATTCACGAGTCTTCCTCCATTGTTCGAGAATACACCAAATGCAGCTCAGGAATTGACTATTGCAAGTAAGTTTTCTTTATTTGGTGTTACATGAGTTACTTTATAGCTAGTAAGGTTGTAGTTTTGCTTTGCCATCAGTTGCATAGAGTATTTCGTTTTTGTCTGCTCTCATGACCATAGGACTTATTTAGCTGACTTTAGTTTATACATCTGAAGAGTCACAAAACCTGAGGGGTTGTGTCAGGTAGTTTGTCTGTCTATCACGATATGCTTCTGTACGACTTAAACTGGTAGATTTCTGTTCACTAGGTTTACTTGAGTTGCTAAAATGCTGCATTTGTTTGCTTTCTGAAGCATGTATTATTTGGATTGAGTAATTAGTAGATTGCTGTTCTTATGGATTATTAGCTTCTATAAAATTGACAATTGGGAAATTTCAGGGGACATTTACGAGCATGCTGTTGTTCTAAGTGTAAAAACCGAGGATCAAGATGCATTTGAGAGAGATTTTTTCCAGTTGAAACCGTACTATGTGGATGCCAGGTGAAGAAATAAGCCACTGTCTTGACAGTATCCTTTTCACTTGGATGCAAGTTTTTCTTTCTCTGACATTTCTTTTTTTTTTTCCTGGACCAGGAATCGTCTTCCGCCATCTCCACAGGAGAATCTAATCTTGGGTCTGAACCTTCTGAGGCTGCTTGTCCAAAACAGAATTGCTGAGTTCCACACCGAACTTGAATTACTTTCATCAGCTACTCTGGAGAATCCTTGCATCAAGCATGCAGTAGAGCTTGAGCAGTCGTTCATGGAGGGTGCCTATAACCGTGTGTTGAGTGCTAGACAGACCGCACCTGATGCAACTTATGTCTATTTCATGGATCTTTTGGCAAAAACCATAAGGTAACATCTATGAGTCCTCCGTCTCTCAATTAGTTCAGTTTTATGCCTTCTCGTGCGTTATCTCACCTTTTTTTTATTGTTTGTCACTGCATTATCAGAGACGAAATAGCTGGATGCAGTGAGAAAGCTTACGATTATGTCTCTATCAGCGATGCCCGGCAGATGTTGCTATTTTCCTCTGATCAAGAACTCTTAACCTATGTCAAAGAGGTATAAAAGCAGACACAATGTGCTAACTGTTGGAATCTTTTTATTTTTTCATGAATCTTTGACGCGATTTAGGTTTTATCAAATCTTAATAGGAGCACCCTGAGTGGGAAGTGAAGGACGGACTTGTTGTGTTCCAAAAAGCGAAAGAAACTGCACCGTGCAAAGAGATTCCGTCTCTGCAACTCATCAACCAGACTCTAAGCTACGCCAGGGAGCTGGAGCGTATCGTGTAAGATCCTACGTTTCTCATTGCTCGTCTCTTCCATTCTGTTCCTGGAAATCCCCAGGTCATAAAACTTTGTTATCATGTAATGACCGACTTGGAAGGGAGACTCAGTATTTCTCAAGAAGTGATTCGGTTAATTGGATTTGGCAAATGAGACTCACTCTTAGTCTTACGTGATATTCTGTTATTCAGCTTTTACTCCTTCTTTCTCCTCCTCTCTTTTTGATGCTTTTCCTGAATATTATGTCCCTGATTTTGCGGTGTTTGATACTAGGCTTAGGCATTCGAAATATCGGTTAGGTTAACTTGGGTTGGTTTGCGGTGAAATTTGTAGTTGGTGTGGCTTAGTTTTGGATAAAAAGTAGGAGACGTTTGCAGATCCTCTAATGTATAGTGGCTGGGGTTTTGTGTTAGCCAAATGAATCATAGTCCGAACATGTAAGAAGGTAAGAAGGACAAAGTTAGCCAGGATAAGGACAAAGGATTGTCCATTGAAACACTCATCAACTTGAAACAAGTGGGGGATTACGTTGCAAGCATTTCTTCTATTTTGGGTTAAACAATTGATTAACATATAATTCTATAATTAGAAGAGAGGAAAGGAAACTCGCGATTCGATATCTTTATCTACTATAAAAAAAAATAGATTTAGTTAACACACCCCCACTAAGATGACACAATACAATTAATAAAATACTTTTTTGACAAATCGTGTACTGCAAAATGACTTAAGTAATGATCCACTTTGGGTAAGCAGTTGAAAGTGGTTCAGTGGTTTTCTAACTTTTTACTATTAATTTCCCAAAGTGAGATTCCTTTTATTTGTTAGTCCATCTAAGTTCTAACTATCATTGCATTACTTGTTATTTTAATGTCAATTATTGCTTTGTTTATCATAATTATTTGCTAAGAACATCACTGTTATCGAATTAATAATAGGAGTCGTTGTTATTCTACTCACCCACAACAAGCACTTAGTGCCTAATTACGTCTTACTTGTAAATATTTATTCTAAAGCTTTTAGGCGCGCTTTAAAAAATGCTGTCGATGACAACTTCTTGGTGCTGGACGTGTAAGAAACGTCTAAACATATACACTAACATAATTAATTAATTATTTGAAATGTGATATATAAACTTTAATGTAATATTCGTCTCGGTCATAAACAATAAAACAGTTTGTTTAAAAAAATAAGTACAGTATTCAAATAGTCTATAATATATTTTCCATTCAAATTTTAGTAAAAATAAATAAATACAAAATTGGGTGAATAACCCAAAAAAAATGTATAATTATAAATCTAACCATTTAACCTAAATCTAATGGATATAAGTATGCCACATATGCTAATTTTATGCTAGTTTGCTAATTATTAAAAAATTTTGGCAAATTAACGCAAATTAACCCAACAAAATTCGATGCTTTTTGTCCCACAGTATTCAAATAAAAAATGAAAGAAATTGCATGAATGGAAGATATTCTAGTGGTTGGGGTAAATTGGTACAGCGTGGAATCAAATTGTCTTATGGTATATATAAAGTATTCCTCCCAACTTGCCCCTCTCCTCTTAGTATGCTTCCAAGCCTTC